GTTACACCTGGCAGCACTTTGTAGTCCGTCCAAGGACCACGTTCACATCTAACATGAATATGTTGGATGATGAAGATGACCAAAGCTTTCACGCTACGCGTGACGGCTACTCCCATTTGAGCGATGTCGAATGGAATGTGGTTGAACGGATGGGTTCGACCATGGGCATCCATGCTGTTAGCGTCATGCTAGAGGCTCTCAATAGAGATGCCCAACATGCTACTATCGCCAAGTTCATTCAAAATGAACTTGACGCAGAACGCGAGAAAGTAGCCTTGCTTCACCAACAAGGTTCTCAACAAGCAGAGTTGTTGAGAGAACAAGGTGTTCAACAGTTTAGACTGTTGAGACAGCAGCAGGCTGCTGCTGGCGGGTCGATGCACTCGCGTCGACCCGAGACCTTGAAGATTGACATCTCCAAGTATAGGGGAGTCGAAGAGGACTCCCTCTTGAGATGGTTCGTCGAATTGGATGACGCCATAATGGCGCGTCGCATCGACGACGGGGATATGCAAGTTGCATTTGCCCAGTCAAATCTGGCAGGACGTGCCAAGACTTGGGCACTGGGGCTCAAGTTGCACGACCCATATGCGTTTGGGTCGTTGGAAGTCTTCAAGTCGCGGCTCAGACAAAAGTTTGAACCGCCTAGAGCTGAGTTCAGGGCTCGAACCGAACTCTTGAAGCTCAAACAGGGTAAGCGTGACGTGTACGCTTATGCTCAACATTTACGACATCTCACGAGTTGCATAAGTTCCAATCCGGTGGATGAACACACGTTGGTTTCGGTTTTCATGCAGGGTCTTGCGGACGGTCCCGTCAAGACTCACCTGTTACGACTTGAACTAGATTCACTAGAACAATCCATTTCCATTGCGGAACAGGAAGACTTCAGTCTGAGACAGGCTCGCACCAGCTCGACATCATATCGTCAACCGAGACGACATTACAGTGGAGGTCCAGAGCCGATGGAACTCTGTTATGTAGAGAGCGAGAAGGCTCGCTCTACAGGCTACAAGAAGTTGCAGAGATGCAACAGATGTCAAAAGACAGGACACTACGCTTACAAGTGTAGTGCCCCTCGTCCAGTGTCTCGCAACACTGGGCGTAGTGACCGTCCACCCATGAGAAAGGGGCAGGGAAGCGGGTCCGCTGTTGGTGCAAAGACGCAACAACGGGATGGACCGTCAAAAAACGGACAGGATCAGTAGGTGCGGAGCACCCTACTGGTCCAGCAACGTCAAGATAATTTGTAGGCCTCTTGATGAAGGTTGCTCCCGACACACAAACATTGTGCGTTGCTGCTCTAGGTAATGAGATCTCACTCATTACCTTGAAACTCGAAGTGGCGAATAAGTTGTCCCTTCGAGCTCTAGTCGATTGTGGGGCATCCAACAATTTTGTGCGACGCCAATTGCTAGAAGATGGTCACTTTAAGTTCAGTGAATGTGACACACCTCCTACGAGGATGACGGTACGTCTTGCGACAGGCGCATCCGTAACCGTCATGAAGCGTATAGTGAAGATCCACTATACGCTAGAAGATACCCAATAGGACGATGACTTTATCGTCTTGGATTTGGATGACAAATTTGATGTCATCCTTGGAATACCGTGGCTCAGAAGGTACGAACCACGGGTAAACTGGCAACATCGAACAGTAACGATGCCTGTCGCTTGTTCATCATATGGCCATCTGGTGAACGTTTTGGAGCGTCCACAAGCGTGTGGATGTACTACGAGTGAGTGCGATGGCCTCACTTGTGGTACGGTCGTTAGTACGACTGCACAAAACCTTAGTGTAACAAACGGTTACACTTTGGAGCAAAGTTCCGGCGGCTGTGAGGAAACAAAGGCTGCGCCGAAGGTCTACCACTCGAATAAGTCGAGCGTACCGGGACAAAGATGTATCCCTGGCGGGGAACATCTAGAAGAGAAACAATAGATCGCTCAGATTAAGCGAAACGATAATCCTAGATCGACTGGAGAGTCTTTCGTAGAGGATCTCGCTGTGGTTGCGCAACCCCAGCTAGAGGAAGTAAAGGGAATAAGTCCTGATATCACAATTACGGTGGAAATAAGTTCCTCGAAACCCGCGGGAATAAGTCTCAGGGAAGCCGAAGGAATAAGTCCTTCGAAGCCTGAGGGAATAAGTCCCCAGGAAATGACAGAGACATTGAATGTCATAGTCAATAACGGATCAAGTGTAGGCGCTTATACACTTGATCTGATTGCGCCTACCAAGTTAACTTCGGAGATCACTCAGTTGCCAACGCTCGAACATAAAAGGTTCTTGCGTGATCTGCGTAGTGGCAAAGTCAAGCAGATCTGTATACTCGTCGCCGACGACGAGTGTGGAACCGACATAAGGTCATCAACAGTGTTCAATGAGAACGAGAGAGTTCTCAGTAGTTCATCTATGGACGAGAGTGTCCTAGATGAAAAGACACGAATTGAGCGATATGACTCCCAATCGTGGGAATCGCTCAAGAAAAATCCTCTCTATGAAAATTTGGTTGAATTCAAGCATTTATTCCCTAAAACTGTTCCGTGCGAATTACCGAAGGATGAAAGTATTCGACACGAAGTCGAGCTTAAACCAGGCTCGAAGTACTGTGTCATGAAGCAGTAGCCACTGCCTCGTGAACTAGTACTTGCGATCGACAAGTTCTTTGCCGATCGTTTATCTGCGGGCCATGTGAGGGAATCAACTTCCACACATATCTCTCCGACCTTCTGTGTGCGAAAAGCAACAGGAGGGTGGCGGATAGTGCATGCATTTAACAAGTTGAATGCTGCAACGGTACCGGCTCAGACGCCGATACTAAGGAAGGACGTAATCATTGATGGTATGTCAAAGAGTACCATCTTTTCGTCCATGGATTTGATGGATGGCTTCTATCAAATCCTTATGCGAGAACGGGATATACCCTATACCGCAGTTAGCACGCCTAGCGGCATGCTCTGGGAATGGCTAGTAATGCCACAAGGGCTTAGTAATGCCCCTGCCACGTTTAACATATGTGTATCACATCTGTTGAGACCAGTACGAGAATTCGCGCCGAGTTATTTTGATGACGTATTCATCCATAGCCGAGATGTGGATGGAAAGTCGGACGTTGAGGTTCACAGGTACCACGTCCGACAGGTTCTTACAATCATGCGAAAGCATCAATTGTATGCAAACCTCAAGAAGTGTATTTTTGCAGCAAGCGAAATACCACTTCTTGGGTGCATCGTTGGTAAGAACGGTGTACGTCCTGATCCCGAAAAGATCAAGGCGATCACCGACTGGCCTGTGCCGGTTGATATCAAAGGTCTTCGAAAATTCCTTGGGCTAGCGGCGTATTTGCACAAGTATTCACGCAATTACGCCGAGATGACTGTGCACCTCTCTCGTTTGCTGAAAATGAACGAGAGGTGGTCATAGAACGCTGAATGTCAGCGCTCCTTTGATGGTATCAAGCAGAGCTTGATACAATCCCCAGTCCTAGCAATAGCCGATCAGGACAGTCCATTTCATGTGGTCTGTGATGCCAGCGATTTCGCAATCGACTGTGCATTAATGCAGTACGATCTTGAAGGCGTTGAACGCGTCGTCTGCTATCAGTCGCGTCAGCTGCAACCAGCTGAGCGGAACTATCCAGTGCATGACAAGGAACTCCTTGCCATGAAGTATGCACTCGCGAAGTTCAGAGTCTATCTATTAGGAGATAGACCCTTCGTTGTTTACACTGACCATGCGTCATTACGCACGGCAGTGAACAGCCTGAACCTTTCACAACGAATGGCGCGGTGGTTGTCATTCTTTGCGGAATAAAACTTAGAGGTAGCGTACACACCAGGACGACTTAATGTCGTCGCTGATGCACTCTCACGTCGTCCCGACTTTGAACCAGTCGCGAAACCCAACAGTGAGACAGCCACTGTGGCGGTTATGACGTCCTCAGTCCCATCTACAACGTTGTATGATGATGTGAGGCGGGCGTATGCCCAAGATGGTGAGATTGTGAAGTTGTTGACACATCTCTCACAGCCATCTCGAGAATCGTTGAAACGATTGTCGCCTGCGTATCGATCTGCATCAGATCGATACACTACTCGTAACGGTTTACTGTATTATACAGTCGCTACTGGTGACACACCACGTGTTGTCATTCCAGATGATACTGATCTGCGTTTGCGGATCATGTTCGAGTATCACGATGCTCCTATAGGAGGACATCGTGGCCGAGAGAAAACACATCTCACGGTAAGTCGAGACTTTTACTGGCCCGCCAGTTTTAGTTTGTGCGAAAGTATGTTCGCGCATGCGAAGTCTGTCAACGAGTGAATTCAAGTCCTTCACTGCGTGCACCATTACAGCCTCTACCGGTTCCGGCATAGTGCTGTGAATCCATATCAATGGATTTCGTCTTCGGGTTACCCAAAGACGCACGCGGGAATACGGGTATTCTCGTATTTGTTGACAGATTCAGCAAAATGGTACACCTTGTGGCTGTACCAGAGACAATCACGGCAAGTGGCTGTGCTTGTGTCTTTATTGACACCATCTTCTGACTTCATGGGTTGCCCCGTGAACTCGTATCGGACAGAGATCCACGATTCACTGCTGATTTCCGGCGTTCCGTGTTCAAATCATTTGGAACGCGCTTGAAGATGTCGACATCTGATCATCCAGAGTCAGTTGGTCAGACGGAACGAACCAATCGTGTCCTGGAAGAGATACTTCGCGGATCCGTACACTCCTTTAAGAGTTGGAGTGAGTTTTTGCCAATGGTAGAGTTTGCCATTAACAACTCGGTACATGCGTCCACGACACATACACCGTTTTACGTGAATGGCTTGCGCCATACGCGTGTACCCATCTTACTAGAGTGTAACTCTGGTTTAAGGGGGGAAAACTCGCGCGAGCAAAAGCCGATTTAGTTTACGCTCATTACGCTCTGACGAAGAAGTCATTGCGTTTGATGCTGATATCGATAACATCGATATCGAAGAAGATGATGCCAGTGAGAGCGGAAGCCCTCACTGAAGAAGATGATGCCAGTGAGAGTGCGGAAGCCCTCACTGAAGACAATGATCCCAGCGAGAGTGCGGAAGCCCTCACTGAAGAAAAGGTTGTTGTTGCTGCAGTGCGCTCACAGCACACTGAAGCTAACGAGTCATCAGATGAGTTCATACTGGCTCGTGAAACGGTAGTCCGTTTTGTGCAAGACTCCATCGCCGAAGCGGTGGATAAGCAAAAGCAAAACGCTGACAAGAATGGAAGGGCAAACACTCTTGTATTTTACAAAGGTGACTTAGTCCTACTGTCTACGATTAATCTACCAAAGCATGTAGTGACTAACTTGGGTAGCAGTAAACTACTACCCAAGTACATTGGCCCATTTCGTGTTTGCATCGCCTAGGCAATGCATACACGATCGAGTTACCACGTAAGATGCGAACGCATCCCATGTTTTACGTTGGTCGGCTTACATCAGTAAGCTGCTTCTTCTGATGAAGAACGCCCTTGCGCTCAAGCATCTCGCAGAGAGCCTTGTGCTCCCGATGGTGGGCATCGACAAGGGTCTAAAGAGCAGTTATCTCAGCCCGAGACCGATCAACAATCCCACGAGCTACCCTTAGCTCGTCACGAAGAGATGTCAAAGCTCTCTCGTTCTCAAGCTGAGCAAAAGCAAACTCAGCTCGATGCTTCAAGACAGTGTCCGCCAGTTGAAGACGCCTGTCCCGCTCATGCTCGAGGTCGCCGCGTAACGCTAGAGTTACGCGATCAAAGAAGATCTCGGGAACACACGCTTCCCCACGATAGCGTGAAGAGTGTCTTCCCTCCTCCTTCACCTCCATTGGAGGACTCTCGCGGTGGCCAGCGCTATATTGTTGAGCGGCTGTTGAATTACCACGACATAAACGGACGTCGGAAGAGTTAACTCGTCCGGTGGCGCGGCTATCCCCCGTCCTGGGATACTTGGGAGTCCCGCTCTTAACTGATGATTGACGTACTGGGTCTGGTCGAGCAGTACGACGCGGCAAATCCTGTGCCGCAGAAGGACCGCCGGAGAAAGTCTTCCCGGCACGGTAGTAAAAGAGATTTTTAGGTTGTCAATCCTTTCGTACATCTCAGTAGAGATACGTACACGCCACCACGGGATGGTAAGGAGGTAAGCATCCTTAGGTGCGCGCAGAGTTATTCACACAACAAGGGAACGGGTCTCCCCAGGAAAGACAGGGTAATCCACCCTCCTTTGACAGACGGTGCAGCTTATAGCGTTCACCTGTCGGGGTTCTTTTCTCAAACTAATCACGAGCTTTGATAAGTTTGTCGTTCCAAACGTCACGACCTACATCCTCAAGGTTATGGATGTAAGCGTTCCACGCTTGAAGCAGTGAGTGACCATCACGTTTGTGATTCCCACTGTACCATCGATGTTTAAAAAAAAGCATCGATGAAGAATTCGTTTTCAGCGTGATAGTTTTTCGCGCTGGGGTCAAGGTGATGGATCCTTGACGAATCGAACAACCGTGTTCGATAACGATCACTCGTCGTCGCCGACAAGCGATCCATGACAGATTTGGGAGGCATCCATGCCTTCTTTTCTGGAGCGAGACGCAAGACATTGCGGTCCCGCTCTTCCTGCGACATGCCGACAGAAGTACTGGCACCTCGCTGTGAAGTGGTGTCCATAGGAGAACCCACACCACTATTAGCGCCCGAGTCTCGCGACCTCGAGAGCCTTCCCTTCGGCGATGGTTCATCTGATTCATCAGATGAACCAAAGATGCTGCGACGCAAAGCATCGTCCATGCCACGCTTGGCCGGCGGCTTAGATTCAATCGCCGTCGATACGGATCCGTCTTCCGTATCAGGAGAGTACGAGACACCGAGCTTGTACTCTGTGAAGACATGAGTGTCTTCATGACCAGCGCCTGCATCACCAAGTGACACAGGCTGGGTCGCTTCAGCAACCGATGATACATCAGTTGCTGTAGTTTCTGTTTCGGCGTCTACACATAGACGTGCAGACGCGCTCTCGGCGGCCTTGCTCGCGCATCGCATGGGCTTGTTAACCATGCGATGAGATGTTGGAAAGTGGACTCAGACCAACAAGTGCAAACCCCGTCCCAAATGATTCGGGACGAGTATCCATTTAGTCAATCAGTCACTAAAGTGACTGATGGCTAGGGGGGGTGATGTAACGGGGTGAACCGTAACATAAAAATTTGTAAGAAATTGTTAATAGAATATAACTATTAAAGTTATAGTCTCAGAATATTGTCATAAGGACAAATATTCTGCAGCACTTACGACTAGTTCCCAACTGGTTGATATAGGCCATTATACCAACCAACGAAGACGCGCCACGACAGACGCACGCAATGAGTGGTGAGCAGATAGTTGATATGCACATTTGTATTTAGACATAGTTAGATGAAGATAAATAGTGATTTATTGCAGACATTAACTATACTAAATACAGTTCTACTTTTTACTCTAACCAAGTACTCGCTTCTTCTTACCGTCTTCCTCTGCACATACCAGTGTACGTGAAGTTCCGAGGCACCGCCTTATTCTGTCATCAGAATAAGTAGCTTTTACTGTCACCAGTACAAGCTTCAGGGTGCCCCGTTACACGAAGGGTGATGCTATTAGTGACTGTGCGTAAGGTTGAATGTTGAACTTTTTAATCGTACGTATCTGTGTGAGTTGCTCTGCGTGCTTGCAAATAACGCGTCAGGTGTATCTTACACTATCTAAGCGCGATCTAGCCTATCCCTGTGTTATTGTGAGCCTGTTGAATATAATAAATCTAGATACTTTATTATTAGAATGATATTCGAAAGGCTGAAAATGCTCGTGAATATTACCATAAATGGTAATAATCAGAAGAACTCACTCTTTTGCTGATACGGACCGTTATATCTGCCAGCTCTAGCGGATCAATCAACGAAGGACGCGCGCAATAAAATGGAGAGCAAGACTTTCGCATTAAAAGTTTTGTAGATAAAGAAAATTTAGTCAGGACCAACACATGGGATAATGAGCAGCACTCAATTTTATTATAGTGAATTTTTAATTCCACCACATTCTTTCTAGTTATACCACACATGCGCTTGTTCCACCACACCACAACTTTGTAATACAATTATAGCCACACCATATCACACCACCAAGCAACCACATCCCACCAACCCCCGTGTTCAACAACAATTTCTATTAGCGCACTCTCGAATCGCCGAAAAAGAGCCAATGACGGAAGTAAAAAAAGGTTGATACAATTTCCTATTTTCCTTACAGTCATGTGCGACCTGCCGTTCGATCTGCTGAGAAACAAAACAGACCATTTTTATTGCCTTGTAGTGCCTTTGATTTTTCTTGTAAATGTGGTGTGCCTTATAATACGTCCATGAAGTCGATTCATGTGCTTTGACCACGTGAAATATGCTGACTTACACAAAATTATCTTACGTCACATTACGAGCTTTGATTATCCTCTTGCTCAAGGTGTTATATGCTCAAATAACTCAATCTGTTGCTGCGCTTCAATATTATTTAGAATCTGGGCCGTTAGTCTCTCATTTATTGTGAAACTTAGCACCGTTGTTTGTGGCGTCGCTCTTGCTGGTGCGCGTCTTTCTTGTGCTCGTATAAAAAGTCAGCGATAATATCCACCTTAAATTTCTTAATCACCACCCACAGCAAAAACACTCCCTCCCCGATACACTGTCTTTCTCACTCTTAATCATTTTACTCGTCGTCGCTCGTTTCTCGTGTGAAGGCGCTGGCGAGTGCGCAATGGTATCAACTTCTCATCGAGATTTCTAACGGATACCAAAGCGATGGGACGGTTCTCTTGACAAAATCTTAATCGACAATGATATAAAAAGGTGTGATTTATCTTCAATTAAAATCGAGGGTGGCATACGAAAGCGTAGGATTTAGCAAGGGAAGGATTAGTATATGTTGGAAAGCAAGCAAATTAGCTGCTTCCTTCGACAAATTTCCACACTCAATATAAATGTTACAGCTACAAAAGCCTCCTACTATCCGCATACAAGAGCGTGTGTAGGGGTGGTGCGGTGCGGTGCGCTTAAAACTATTCAATCAAAAGTTACGGTGTGGTGAAACTAGTGATTCCCATATTTTTATACAGTTTCGCTTTCTACTCCTATTGAACCCGTCGTTCATTAGATAGACTCCCTCTGCACGATGGTTTAAATGACGTAACACACGGCACTACCTACACTGTTTTCAGTGTAGTTGTACTAGTACTGAAGTATTACGAGTGACCTGTGCCCCGTTACACTCATAAGCAAAGGCCGCCCAAGTATACTGTGTCATAACACAGAAATTTGCAGCATCACACACATTCTTCAGTGACTGTTGTTGTGTAGTTTTTTGCAACTTGGATAAGTTTTCCGATCGGCATTTATTCATGTCAATGGGTGAGCTTTAGATGTGACGGGGTAGCACGTTACATGATATTGACACCAAACGATGTCAATAGGAAGATTGTCCAACGTGACAATCATCTGCCAATAATATTCGAGATGGATAATATTGAAGGAGTGTTATCCCCTTAGGATGATACTTACGTGCCGCTTGAAGGCTGGTTGATAAAAGACATATCAACCAAGATTATCACCAATCGCTGCTAGACGCGCGTAGTGGGGGTGAGCAGGTGGTCGTCAAACGACAATGTAGATTAAAATAGTTTGACAAAGACTGAAGTTATGTTGGTAGCTTACTATATTAATTTAAGTATAAAAATTTCCTTTATTAGACTAGTAATTTGAGTCAATTTACTTTCCTCTGCACGTACGAGTGTACGTGAAGTTTCGTGGCACCCCAAACAAAGGGTGCCCCGTTAAATTAGAGCTTGCTCCCCTATCTTTTTCGTGTCGACATAGATTAACGTAAGCCAGTTAGCGTAGATTATCCAGTAAACAGTGCTAAAATATACGTCATGATTGACTAGAGAGTCAAGTCGTCAATTGATGCGTCGCCTTCGAGTCGATCCTCAGAGTATTATTCATCTCGTCTTCTCGATACAATTGCGAAAGTGTTTTTTTGGTAAGTATGCATCAGCTCATCAAAACGGCGGCAGTGACGCCTATCAGAGGGTAGATGAGTGTTAAGCACACTAATTAATCGCTTAATAGAGAAGAGTGCAACGACAATGGCGGTAGATTCGTTGGATGGGGTGAAATCGTGCCAGAACGAATCTGTTCGTCGGTGTACCATTAGAATACTCAAACGTAGTACAAACAATGTACCGGACTAATCGCTGTGCGGCATGGTCGAGCTCGTGCCAGACACGGCTCACTGTGCGATACTCTATTGTCAATATTGCAATACCAAGTCAAGGCCTCAATGGCTTCCCTTAGAATCATCATCTGGGAGGTGAAGGTAAGGGCGATCCGCGAATTGACGTGATGGCTGCAACAGATGAACAGGGCTGGAGTAAGCATACCTCATGACGATACCACGGTCATTTATATCAAGCTGCACGTCACATGGTTTATCTAAGTTTACCTAGGAGGTCAAGATGAATGTCATGTCGCCTACGTACCTATGTGTATCGTACACAGCTCGTCTTGATGGGAGCTCAGCACACGAGCGATCCACCGCCTGACGTTTACTCCCTCCAAACTAGATTATTCCTGCTCAGAGATCTGTCCATGCTAACAAATAGATCATCGATCGATCGGTCGACCAGGCGTTTTCAAATCAGATCCAGGGCAGCGGGCAATATGAGGTTCCCCCTGCTGACGTCGCGCCGCTCATCGGCGTCAAGCTGTTACTCTTCCCCCCTCCTCTCCCTCCTGTGCCTTCGTGCTCTGTTCGCCTTTTCCACGTCTCAATCGACCGCAATTCGACTGCCACTTCATCTCCCACTCGACGTCGACTCCGAGACCTTCTGGACTCTGCCAGCGACCCAAAATATCACTCAGGACATCACCCAATTTAGGACGCAAGTGCTCAATCACGTACCCGACCTTGTTCCTGGTGACGTTAAGTGCGATAAAATCGCTCGCTGTGACCACAAGGGCGTGTGTGCCGTTGTGTGCAAACATGGCTCCGTCCAAATTGACAAATGGCTACAAAAGGCACTCAAGCTGCAAAGGACGCTCGCGTACCGACGCAATTTCTGCTCGGCCGCGCTGCCAGGCACCCACAATTCGGCCATTAATCTATCGGATGGCTACGGCGTGGAAGACCATGTGTTTGAGGGCTATTTGCGCTACTTTTCGTGGTTTAAGCCGGGCATGAAAGTGCATACAAACGACCAGCTCTTTTCGCTCACTGATCAGCTGCAGATGGGTGTGAGGTTCCTTGAGCTTGATGTGCACTGGTGTGATGGGGATTTGCGCATCGCTCATTGTGGAGGCTTCCGGTCCAAGTTGTTAGACGGGATGATTAACGTTTTCAACGAGATTGCCAAAATTCTGGGCACTGGCATTGAGTGGGACTCGGAAACCATCGGGTGTAAACCTAGTTTGAGTAGCATACCGTCCAAAGAGCAACGGCCGCTGAAGGATGCACTGCAGGAAGTGGCGGCGTGGCTGCATGCACCGGAAAACTCGGATGAATTCTTGATGGTGTTTTTTGATGACGAGACGAACCTCATGAAGTGGAATAAAGTGGGCAAGCTGCTGGAGTATCTGAAAGCGTACTTTCCTGAAGAGGAAATCCTGCGACCGATCGAGTTGATGGTGAGTTTCGTGTTTTGTAATATTCGCATGAAAAGGGTCTGGAAGTTGTTACAATCGAATATGTTTGAATGAACTAGTACGACACGGAATGGCCTACGCTAGAACAGCTCCTGCTTGCTGGGAAGCGCGTGCTGTTCATGAGTGGTGCGGACTACCTGGCACGTGGGGAGGAGATCTTGTTCGTGAAGGACAACATCTGTAACTGGCACGAGCCGCCACTGCCTCTTGTCCCGTTTCCAGCTTGCCGATTTAACCAATCAGCGACTAAAATCGGGATACCGGACGTAGACTTCACGATTTTTCGCCCTGAGACTAGCGAGATCGAGTACGGATTTCTCAATGCAGCCGGCCAGCTTGGCTCAAACAAGAATTTGCTGGACGAGAAATCGCTTCCGGGCGTGACCGACTGTGGCGTGAATCTACCGTCTCCAGATAACATCACTCCAAAACGTATGGAAGCTACAATTTGGGCTGTCCCAAAGGGGCATGAACTTGACCCTACTGAGTGTGTGGCACTCATGCGCGAGTCAAAGACCTGGCAGAGTGTTGATTGTCAGACTGCTAACTTGGTGTCAGCTTGTGTTGATGTGAAGAACCCACGGCTCTGGCAGCTTGGCCTTGTGTCGGTCATTGAAGCCGACGCTGCTGCTGCCTGCATCGCTCACTCTTCGGCCAGGTTGACGTATTCAGTCCCAGCTTCGGGATATGAGAACAATCTATTGCACGACCGGCTGATCCGGCATGCTCCCAGCTCAGTTGTGGGTGTGTGGTTAAATGTCAAGAATGTCGTCGCCAAGGTGTACTCTACAGATCAGATTCAAGCTGTCACCCCATTCGGTCAACACGTAAAGCAACCACTGCTGGACGTCATTGTCGCGGTGCAGTAGCCGCGAAGATACAAAAAGGATGATTGCTTTGGTCTGTCTGTGCGCGAAGAGCGATGCAAAAAAATGCGCGGGTCCATGTATGACAAATTATAGCGGCAGTACCGTTTGTATGAAAAGTACTCGGCGTTTTGCATTCAGAAGGAAAAAATCAAGGAACATGTATTACGGGATCTGTGGAGATAGAGCTAGCAATACTGGTGCGCATCTGGTTCGTGAAGTCAGTGATATATCGTGTGAGCACTTGGCCACTACACGTCGACGGGGTAGCGATGCAAATGACTAGTGCGTGCTTCCAGGAACTACTGCCTTGTATGTCGTGTTGGGCATCGGGAAGAATTCTTTCGCTGTGCTATTGTTCATCGGAGGCTTCAGCTTGTAGTCGTCTTTCTTGCTCGTGTTTTCCGCGACCTGCGTGACATCTCCATCCTTGACGAAGTTCAGTTCTCCCTGTCCGCTGTGGTTCATGGTGTCATTCTCCGTTGGAGGGCGCTCATACTTCTTCAAGTCACGACTGCCGTCCGTATTATTCTGGCACGCCTTCTCGAATGTGTTGACGAGTTCGCGCACGTCAAGTTCAACACCGACAAGCGACATGTTGCAGTCCGTATGAATGAAGTTCAGGACGTCGTTAATCAGTGCGCTACACTTGTCGGAAGTACACATGGCTTTGACTTGCTCATTTGTCGAACCATTCGCAGGTGGAGTGTCGGAGATGATCTTCTGGCAGGAATGCAGGTGTGGGTTAGTGTTTAACTCACCAAGCTTCGCGATCGTGGCGGGAGGACAACTGTCGTCAGCGGCAGCACCGTACGAGGTGAGCAGGAAGGAGAGGAAAAGGCTGGAGTGCATACTTGTCTAGAAGGTTAATGCAGTGAATGACGGGTTGTGCGATTGCCAGTTTGGAAGCAAATTGGAAAGTGAGGATCTTGGCATACGGGCATGAAGCAGAGGTGACTCTTCTCGACAGAAAGTGACGGCCGAAACGATCATGTCCTTTCAGCAATGAAGAGAATACGTGGGAAGAGAATTGCATTCGGGCCGGGTGAGAAAGGCACTGGGGGCGGTTTTGCAAATGGTTGACGTGAGAAAGTACTTAAGTCAAGTGACTGTCTTTTATGAACAAGCTGCTTGCTGTGTGATCCGCAAGATGTATCGAGCTCTTCGGACTACAAGGTGGGTGAATTGAGGGGTAACGCGCGCCACGAAAAACGCACGTGAGCGGATGGTGTAGCACAAACACTTCCACGATTCAAAGAGTGTCGAGTTTTGATTGAAAAGTTTTACAAATGTATCCAGGTTCCCACGTAGCTCGTATTCTTGAAGTCTCATTTCGTGTTACTCTTTGCAGGTTCTCGGTGTACCCTGCGACGAAAGCTATCGAGAAGTTCGCTGAAGGAATTTGCCCCTATCTTCAGCGTGAAGAATCTACTTGGATTTCGGGAGGAAGCCTCTTTGGTTGAACTCATCATCAGTTTGTGCAGTGGTGGTCGTCATGAAGCAAGCACTCAATCAAGGCCACCCTCGGTCCAGTTTCCTGGATCCGATGCTGGCAGTTCAGCTTGACCTTGCCCTATAAGCACCACTCGGACACAGTGATGATGGCAACTGCTCAATTGCTTGGTAGCATGTTTCGTCTCTTGTTTTATGCAATACCGCCAGCGTTTGTCCAACATTTGAACACCCACGTCCAGCACTCGTGCGTCAGGAAGCGTCTCACTGAGCTGTACATCGCTCGAATCACAGTTGCTAGAACTTCCGGACGCGTGGTCGTTGGAGCAAGCAGTGAAGCTTCCACGCATGTACATGGTCTCTCATTTGCATTGGATGACCGCAACGGGTAGGAGTCCCAGTCAGTGGCTGTACAAAAGTCTGCCAAGGCGGCACACTCTATTCTGGAATGGAATTCCGGGCAAATGTATGCCTGCCGAGGGGCACTTGAGGTGATAGAACTGACAAAGACAGCGAGCATGGGAAACGGATCAAACCGTTTCGACGATCACAGTTCTGTGTACAGCGCTACCAGACGATGATGGCTCTGAACAACCTGTGTGAGGTGCTCCTGTAAAAGTGAACGATCAACCGCCACAGAATTCTAACATGCCTTTCCGCCGAGCCTTCAGCTTGATAGCAACACTTGACGTGGCCCGAGACTTGTCAGGTTTTATCCAATGACCATTTTGCCACTTTGGTATCCATTGTATTTCGACAGCAGCATCGAGGTCCTCGTCGACTGTTTATCCACTTGCAGACGCGGACTGTGAGACAATATTCCAATGAATAGTTGTGCGCTAGTAAACGCTTCTCACGCATAGCAACCTGACTCAGCACTCGGCGTGCCACGTCCAAGTTTTTCCTCCACGTCCTGGACCACCATCTTCACACGCTCGACGGACGCAGACGATGACGACAGCGACTTCTCGGCGATCGTGATCTGATGACTCAATGCACTGATGTTGAAGTTGTCGCGCAGGATCGTCTTGACCAGCTGCTCGACAGTGTCCGTAAACTCCAGAAGAGCAGCTGGATTACCACCAATAGCGACGTCATTGCTCGAGTGAGAATTGCTCCCACGCAAGGGACCGCAGCGTCGGTCATCTCTACGTTGGTCTCGGATCTCACAAGTCCCACTCGTGTGGTACTTCTCGTCCGCGTTGCTCCTCTTGGACTGCCTCAGAATCTTCTCGTCGTACTCGTGCGCCGTCGTCTTGAGGACGTCCATGGCCTTGGCACTGACCCCCATCACGGTTCGAGCCGAGTCAGTAGCCGCCTCTGCCGGCTGCAAATTGTGCCTCATCTGATGCGCCACGTGCTTCAACTCGAGTGCCGCGTCTTTTGCCGTGCGCAAATCCTTTCGCAAGTACGAGGCGGCCGTGTTGGCAAAGAGGTTCCCGTGACGATTGTCGAAGCCTGATAAGTGTCTCTTGAGCACCTTGAGACAAGCAATAGCCTCATCAGCGATACAGAGGAGCACTTTCTCAAGCGAAGTGAACTCGTGCTCGGCTGTGGCGTTGTAGCCACGACGAAACCCCTGGGTGGTCATATTGGTACAAAGCGCTTTAGAAAGTGGATACGTGAGGTGTGGGTGGAAGTGGTGGATGGGATTCGGGGAGGATCGACTCGGGGTCAGGGCTGGCACCGACCGGTTTTTACTATCGATTTTATTTAATTTCATATTTAACCCAACAGTCTCCCGGGGTTAGCCTCGGAAAGGTAAAGTGAAAGGTAAGTATATTATACTTTTTGTTCTACCATTAGTTTACCACTCCCATTACCCGTTAGTATGTGGCTACCTTTGCATTTACCTTACTCTACCCCTTTGGCTGAATAATTACCTGGGATATAAACGTTTTCATAATTGGTTAAATCCTCGGAGCTGCAGCTGAAAATTAATGAAACGACGACATCGCCGGTCTATCTTAATTAACTGGATGGGTAGGTTGCGTATGATCGAGTTCTGTACGTCAGGTGGTGAAGCGAGCGCATTTCACCATTGTACTTATTTGTCAGAGCTCACATACGGCCTCATATACCATTTTGAAGAATTAAAGTGTAGCAACTTAATAACACCATTGTCAAGGAGTCTTCTCCCCAATTTTCCAGAACCATCTCCAGGTTCTGAACGACGAACTACAAATTATTGGTGCCGGACTGAACGAGTGCGGCTGCAGCTTGCACTTATTTCACCGGCGCTTAAAGGATATTGGCACACATCCATGAGCGTAGAAAACTTTAAAATGTGTTTATATACTATAAACTATATTGCAAACCGAAGCACCAGTTGCAGGCATACAGCGAATTAACCACCCATTACAGTATATTGTGTAATATGTTCAACACTAATGCGAGATACACAAATGGATGATTTGTAGTTGGCACCGCTGTAACGGGGTGAATCGTTGCATAACAATTTATAAGAACTTATTAATAGAATATAACTAGAAGAGTTACATTCTCAGAATATTGTCATAAGGACAGTTATTCTGCAGCACTTACGAGTAGTTCCTAATTGGTTGATATAGGCCATAATATCAACCAACGAAGACGCGCCACGACAGACGCATGCAAAGAGTGGTGAGCAGATAGTTGATATGCACATTTGTATTCAGACATAGTTAGATGAGGATAAATAAATAGTGGTTCATTAACAGACATTAACTATGATAAATACAGCACTACTTTTTACTCTAACCAAATACTCGCTTCTTCTTACCGTCTTCCTCTGCACGTACGAGTGTACGTGAAGTTACGAGGCACCGCCTTATTCTGTTATCGGAATAAGTAGCTGGTACTGTCACCAGTACAAGCTTCTGGGTGCACCGTTACAACCGCGCTCCGGACGTCGGAGTCGTTGTCGTCACCGCGGCCATTGGAGCCCTGCATGACTAAACAAGCTCAGAAATACGGTCGCGCGCGAAGACGTGTGCTTTGACTTTTGATGGTTTTCCTTGGCGCTCTGGGAGTTCAGAACCCAGCAGAACTCCGTGGCGCACTTTTTGTTGGACTCTGTGACTATGGTGTGATTCACAATTAGCAAAATGCGACACAAAGGCCCTTTCTCAGACTTACGTTTTTTTACATGTAATTATTAGGCGTTAGGGGTTTTTGAGATCGTCATTATCATTCCTCTACACGAAGCCTTCTCCCCTGCCTATTATTTACCCTTTTCCACTATACTTTTATCGTTTTACCGTGTCACAAAGGGTGTCTTACCTTCCCTGACGAGGCCTACTCCTAGCTGCCAAAATTAGGATTATTCGGTTTTATGTTCATTAAAGTCCAAGCCATAATATGCGGCCACCCATACTTATACTCAAATGAGTACGAGTTAGGCGCTGTTGTTCTGATTATGTTATGCGACCAGTTTTATTGTATACCCCTTCTGTGTTAACAATCCATTTAGCGTTAGCGGCATATCTCACATACAAATAACCGCTTTGGCACTCGGTCAATAATTATGCGGCCACATCGAACATTCAAATTCCAAGTAAAAAGGAATATTTGCTGAATGTTCAGGGTCATCATACGTTTTTTTATACTTACGTTTTGTAAGATGCGCGAAATATGTAACGAAATTACACGGCGGTTTTTGAACCGGTTATTTCGTGTGTCCACACCAATTATAGATCGGACGATCTGAGAAGTACAGTTTTGGTACCATGTACTTACGGTGATACCGCACTTTATCGATTAGGGACAAGGGATAAGACTTCTGACATAGGATCGCAATGTAGAAGTTAGCCAAACACGATTTCGGGTTTATCACCGTAGTTCAAAAATAAATAAAACTCAGTACACCTTTTGAATCGTTGGACACAAGTGCCTAGTAAAGGCGTAGTGTGTTGTTACAAGCATTAGACTTGTGACACTAACCAGTAGTGACTAGTTAGAGTGTGATTCTGTGAATCATAATCACTTTGGAACCGGGATTGTAGAGCTTGTACGCTTGTACGACTGTACTTAAACTGATAGACTGTTGGAGTCTAAGACTTCCTCTGTTTAGGAACGCTAAATGCCTCTGCCACACTTGGTAGCACTCGTAGTCATTCTACACCTTAGTCTTCACAGACAATTTCCTCTGCGAGGATGAAAACTGCCATGAACCTATCCAAGGCCCAGCAGATCACGCATGAGAAGCTCAAGGTGTTGATCAGGCACGAGCAAGTGGCTCTCGTAATAGAGCAAGGCCCGGACGCACTTCGCGCACAACTCAAGGCCTTCACGAACTTTAAGTCTAGGTAGATTGGACAGGTCGATGACCATTCGGCATCTGTCATGCCCACTAGGTATGTTCTAATACCGGACACTGACTCAAGGACTCGCCCTGTGGTCTTAAGTGTCAAGATGTTTGAGAGAAAAGAGGGAGCAAATCTACTTTTGTGGGTTCGGGAGATGGAGGTTGCCATCAGCTCGACCCGGCTGCAATCAGAGCATCAAAAGATGGCCCTCTCCCTATCAAAGTTAGGTAAGCGAGCCAGAGAGTGGGCCTTCACTTCTGGCACCTTCTTAGACGAGGTTTTTTCGTTCTGGGATATGCTTCAAGAGCCACTATCTCGGGTGTGTGCCCCGCCTGATCAGGCATATTGCGTGCAATCACACTTCCTGTCAACCGGCCAGGGTAAAAAGGACTCAGTCGATAACGTCCGGGGGTTGCAAACTCTCAGTGCTGCTATGCAACTTGAATCTTTGCCTGATTTGGTTTTGGTAACCATTTTCATGAATGGTCTTCGTACTGACGTTATCAGAACAAAAGCGTTCCGTGCAGAATCCTCGATATTGGAGGGTGCGGTGGACACAGCGTGAAAGCGGAATTTAAGATTATAGCTGCACGCTACGGAACTCATGGGTTGTAATCGTGCTCGTCGAGCAATGATCATCTTACGGATAGTGCAGAACCCATTATTTTTAAACTCGATGAGATAGACGAAGAAGCTGAGCTTTACGCTGCCGAATAGCGCTCGAACATCCGCAGATTATCTCTGTGCGGTTGAGTCAAGCATCTTCACGCCAATCTTTCTTCGAGAAGGACCAGACAGGCTCATTCGAGATGATTTTCCATCCATAAACAAAGAGTTGGTAGGGCGCGGGAAAACGTCGAGGCCCATTAGGCGCGGAGCGCCCTTCTGGGAAGGATCTAAGCTCTGTTATACCTCTGAAGGTGATGGAGACCAGGTCTTAGCTTAAGTGGCTTTGTGAGCAATGTCACGAAGCATGCGTACAAGCCAGGCATGTTAGCTGCTAATGCAACAGTACAGGGCTTTGATAAGACATGGTCGATATTGATCGACTCCGAGGCTTCTGAGAATTACGTCCGATGCTGTTCCCTGGAAGGTAGTCATCAGTATGCTGAGGCGCTAAAAGCGCGAAAGGATGATATTATCGCTTTTCGCTTCGCGACAAGTGTATGAGTCACTGTGCCTAAAGTTTCTCTGGTTTTGGGCGTAAAATGTTTGGACTGTGAAAATATCGAACGCTGTCTAGTCCTTGACTGGAATGAGACGTATGATCTCATCCTTGGTATGGCTTGGCTAGAACGCCATGGTCCATGGAATAAATGGGTGTCAGAGACCTTAGGTGCAACGCGCACTTTTCCAAGTAGAGCTTTGGACAGTCATTAGCTTACCTCTTCTAGAAAACAGAGGCGCTTTTGGAGCGACCACAGAATGGGACAGTCAGCATGCTGGATATCGGAATGGCTGAAATCATTGAGTACATTGCCAAACAAAATGAGTTGCGAGCCAAGATCGTTGACAGAAAGAAAAACGGCATGTGCTTCGTCGAGTGACAATCATTGTGGTAAATTTTTTACTGAAGGATGATTGTATTGTTAGCCTATAGCCAAGTCATCATGGGTCAAACCCATCTGATGAGCGTAGAGTAGCACGTAAGTACCCACTAAGTGATGTTGGATGTGATTGCAACGCACTGAATCTCGGTCATTGCATTTTTGGCGAAACACAAGTCATCAAGGGCAAGGCTCATTCGATGTACGTGAAGTGACACGTAAGTACCCACTGGGTGGTGATCCCACTGGAAGTGACTCATCACCAGATGTCGTTAATTACATCGGATCGGAAAAGGATCAAATTAAGGTTGACTTAGTTCGTCAACTTTGGGACAGCGTAGTGCCAGATGTCGGTAATGGGATCGACCCCGATATTGGGCGAATTAATGCTGACGCAGTTCTTCACCTTGGGGTTGGTATAGTCACGGATGTAGGTAAGGACATGAGCTCTGGAAATGATCAACTTAAAAATTGACGGTCATGTCAATCTTGGGGACATGGATGCCCCGGGTACCGGTAATGACACCTACTCTTGTATCGAGCAAGAGAAGGATGATGATGATGTCAACCTTGGGAAAGAGAAAGTTCCAGTCTCTTTGAGACGTTCAGTCTCGTCACAAAGACGACAGAGACGCCAGATTGCTGCTATGCAACGCAAGGCGTCTTTTGCGTCACCGATTGATACTAGTGTAAAGCTGTACACATTGCTCAATGAGGGTGAGACGGAAGATATTGATGAAGAGGGTATGGCATCAAGG